ATGAATGAAAAAAAGAAGTTGGAAGAGAAGTAATAGAGACTTAAGAGTCCCATCAACCAGGTCAGGCTCATAGCCTAATGGTTAAGGGAGTGGGATCCCACAAGGCTGACAGTGATTCAAATCTCAGTTCGGTGGCTCAAAAAAACCACACTGGCAGGTGTTCATGCATGCCTAAAATCCCGACAAAATGGAGAAATGGAGAAGGGACTGCAGCATGACCATTTCTTTCCTTCTCTCTCTCTCTCTCTCTCTCTCACTCTCTCTCTCTTTCTCTCTCTGGCAAGTATTCATGACCTCTGGCAATTAAGAAATAAAAATGAGTCCTATCAGTCAATCACAATGTGTGAACTTTATCTGGACTCTGAGTCAAGCTAACAGCATTAAAAATAAAAAAAGCATGTGTAAGACAACTGGAAATTAGAGTTCTGAGTAGATATTTACTGATATTCAGGCACTATTGTTTGAATTTTACTACATAAGATAACATTATTGTGATTGTGATTATAAAAAAAAGTCTATCATCGGGAACCAGCAGTTAGCATAATGGCTATGTCGCTGGACTCCCACGTAGTTGACCGTGGATCGCGGTTCACGTCCGGGACCCGGTGACTTAAACTCACGCCGGGCACGTGTGTGTGCGTGCCCAAGATCCCGAGAGGAGAATGGAGGAGAAGGGATTGTGGCATGACCATCCCCCCTGGGGGGTTATTTCTTGCTTTCTGTCTCTATGTCTCTCTCTGTCTGTCTGGCAAGCGCACGTGCCCTATAGCGAAAACCTCTCCAAAAAAAAAAATAAAATCTATCATTTATGAACACATTCAGAAGTATTTACAAATAAAATAATATAAAATCTGAGATTTGCTCTAAAACAATATAAAGGAAGAGGTTGTACGTGGGAACAGATATAAGCCAATTTATGAGATGAAAATTTGAAAGCTGAGTGATATAGTAATCAGTGTGAATCTATAGCGCTCAGAATGGGAAAATATTTTTGTAAACTATATTATCAGATAAGGGACTGATAACCAGAATACAAAGGGAACTCAAGCAGCTGTCCCTGAAAAAAAGATGATCAACCCTATTAAAAGATGGGAGAATAAGTTGAAAAAAAGCACTCTCTAAGGAAGACATATGAATAGCCAAAAGACATATGGAAAAGTGCTCAATATCCCTCATTATAAGGGAGATGCAGATCAAAAACACAATGAGATACCACCTAACCCCAATCAGAATGACTAAGATTTAAAAAAAAAAAAAATGTTAAGAGCTGGCTGTGGTGTAGTGAAAGGGGAACTCGTCTACACTGCTGGTGGGAATATAAATTGGTCCAGCCACTATGGAGAATGATACGGAGATTCCTCAAAGATCTACAAATAGATCCAGCAATCCCACTCCTTGGTATGTACCCAAAGGACAGAGAATCCTTAGTCGGAAAAGTACTTGCACATTGATGTTTATTGTGGCATTATTCACAATTGCTAAGACATGGAACCAACCCAAATGCCCACGAACAGATGAATGGATTGAAAAAGTGTGACACATATACTCTATGGAATACTACTTAGTCATAAAAAACAACAAGACCCTGACTTGTGACAGAAAATAGATGAATGTGGAAGATTTACTGCTGAGTGAAGCAAGCCAGGCTATGAAGGAGAGACATTGTATGTCTTCACTTAATATATACCGAGTGTCTGCACTCTGTAGCCAAAACTAAATTACTACAGGATATAGAAACATAGAAAATGGTTATGAATACCAGACACAGTGTGGGAGGAGGGTGAATGAAGGAGGAGAGTCTGAGGAAGGACATTAAAGAGAAAAATACAGAGGCGAGGCATTTATGGGACAAAGAAATGGGTTATTATCTGTTGAAGATAATGTGTATAGTATTCTCAACTGGATTGGGGAGAAATATATACATACTGGAACATTTACTTTGCAAGCTAAGTGACATATGTGATTGAATGTATAAAAGAAATTGAAATAAAAAATATAAAAAAAGAAAAGCTGAGTTTTGTTACACCATCCAATCTATTTATATTGAAATTTTCCTATAATAAATATCTGTTTTTGAAAAATGTATTTTATTAGCTCCCCAGTACCCTTGAATAAAATAAAAACTCCTAGATAAATTCCATAGTACATTATAATCTGGCAGATACATACCTCAGCACCATCTGCTACCACTTTCTCTCTCTCTCTCTCTCTCTCTCTCTCTCTCTCTCTCTCTCTCTCTCTGCCTTGAGATGTATGTGCTTATCATACAGAGACAGAGAGAGAGTGAGGGAAAGTTAGAAAGCATTCCATGGGGGACAGCTACACCACAATTCCTTCTCTTCCATTTCTTCTTTTTCAAGATTTCAGTATGCATGCACATGTATCCAGCATGTTTTTCATGCCACCAGGTCCAGGAATCAGTTATGTGAGATTCAGCTGCCTTAACCACTACATTTCAGACTGATCTCACTCTCACTTTTTACCTGTGTTTAAACAACATAAAGCTATTTAAGAGTTCCCCCAGAGGACTATGATAGCTAATGCTTCTAAGTGTTTATAAATTTTCCTTTTTCCTGAATGCCAAGTCTCACATTCTCCTTCTCCTGGAGAAATGCATCCAGCCAGTCCCATTTTCCCTTTGCCAACTGCCTGTATAGGCTCCCTGCTGTGTACCAGCTACACACTAGAGTGATGGATGGCCACCATTTGCTACTTCTGGCTATCCTTCTAGCCTTCCCTGTCCTCCTTTCTGCCTGGTTGGGCTGACCCATTTGGATGGTATTAGTGACTCCCTTGTCCTCTGGCTTCTGGTTAGAATTCTCTAGAGGGAGCTACAGTAGAGGATCTGCAAGCAAGGAGAATAAAGTCACTGGACTTTGTCCCTCACTCTCTCCCTGCCAGGTTAGCACAGATTGGCTGCAAATATCACTCTATCAGATGGTCCTTTCTGAAGTTCATTCTGGTGCAAGTGGCTGGGTTTTTTCTTGGTTTGTTTTTCACTTTTGCATCTTCAGCTCAGGAATTGTGGTTTCTCATAAATTTAGTGAATTATTTATAGAGAATGTCTGCATTAACCTCTCCTCTAGTGACAGTTACAATCTACCATCTCTTTCCTGTTTGGACACTATATAGATTATTATAAACAGAAACCACTCAAACATGAGCCAGTCTCGTAGCACAGTGGTTAAGAACAGTACACAGTGCTGACCATGGTCCTAATCCTGTCTCCAGCTGATTTGAAAAACAGCCACCACATGTGTGTACATGTCCAAATTCCTGAAAGGAAGAAGAAATGGAGAAAAGGCGATTATAGTATGACCATGTCCCATTGAGGGGTGCTTTCTCTCTGGTGAGCACAAGACCTTCTAATGATTTTTAAAAAAAGAAAAGAAAAGAAAGACTAAAAAAAAAAAACCTAACAGAGGTATGGACAGTTCCACAGATTATGAGAGTTAAAGAATATCTTAGAGAAAGAGCAGATGCAAGGGCTTAGAGCAAGGATGTCTAAGCTATGCTTGACTTAGAGGCAGCTTGAGCTGGAAGGCAAAGGTGGAAGTAGGAAAGGCTGGGGAAACAAAACTAACTTTATAGGCCAAGTAAGAATTTAGATTTTTATCCTAAGAGCAATGGAGAAGTATCTAATATTCCCTTGAGCTAGATAAGTGATCATTATCTCTCAAAAAATCTCTGAGAGACTTCTGCTACACAATCGGGACAGGAAGCCCTGGTACTCAGTAACCATTCAATAAATACACACTAAATTAGTGAGTACAGAATGGGTAAACACATAGTTCTTCCCCCCATCATATACTAGCATTACTTTGTTATTTCCCTATGTTCCTTTCTAAATTTAAACCTATTTACTTCTAGCTGTGATTTTGCTTGCCATCAGCATTAAAACAAATTGAAGATAAATAGCTGTATATGAGCTACAACCCTGAAAAGTAAGACAATCTCAAGGGCCAGCAGGTGGTGTCGTGGTTAAGGTTCTGGATTCCCACATGGTCAACCATGGTTCGAATCCTGGACCCAGTGGCTTGAAAACCACAGCATGTAAGTAGATAAATAGAAGTAGGTCAATCTCATCCCAATCTTCTACCCAGTAACAACTGTTTTATTCTAGAGATGGCAAAGCTAAGAAGGAAATTACCAATTCAGGATATGGGAACTCTTGCCATAATTGTAAACAATTATGATGCTAAATTTCACTAATTCAAAGTGATTGAGAAGGAGTCATTTGGAATTCACAAGAAAACAAGAGACCTGTCTTAGTTTGTTTAGAACATAAAATAGAACCTTTTTGCTTTTACTCCTAAGGTGTAGTGCTAACCAAAAGTAACGCAGAGAAGCTTTATTTTGATTTTTCTTTACAGACAGGGTGGCCTAATTGACACAAGATAAAAAAATAAACGTACTTTTTAATTGGTCCCCTCATCATTTCATACGTTGGAATACATAGCTAAAACCTGCTTGAAATATACTTACACTATAAATTTACTTTTTAGTGTAAGCAAACAAAATTAAAATAAAAGGTATCTCAGAACTGTAGCAACTGAATATTCACTAAAATCACAATAACAATGTTTTTATATAGTCAGACATTTTGCAATCATGGATCTGAATTGAATGTAAATAGTTTCCTTTTCACCTAAACACTCCAGTCCCCAGTGAATCAAAATAAAAATGTATCAGGTGCTGTAGTTTCTGCACCAATACTGGTACATTTCTGTGGTGTGAGGCTTTTTAAATTAGCATGAACACTTTCTATTCAAAAGTTAAATAGGAAAATTAACCAATGATACTCATTTATTTTCAAAGTTCAAACAAAATGTTCATTAACTTTCTTAGTCACATGAAAAAAATGACTTTTCGTTGTTTTTCCTAAACGATTCTGTACTACACCAAGTTTATAAATTGATAAAGCAGGAAAGAAAATGAGACCAAAGTCTTACAGAGCAAATAAACTCATTTCATTTCAGGAGGATAGTCGTATTGCTCACCAAGGATGCCATGGTGAAGCCAATGACCTCGATATAGCCATCATCATGACGCTGAGGCTCAAAGTCATGGTGGTCCCCTGGGTTTCCCCAGGGCATGGTACCAGCACAATATCTGTAAGGATAAGGTGAAAGGGAGTTAAATTCTATTCTTCTCATGATTATCATTCAAGATTAATTTACAGTTAGACTCAATGTGTATCTGACCTGAGAACAGTTTTCTGTTCTTGGCACACATCTTCGCATAGAAAACAAAATGAACTTATTTTCAAGATAGCAACCTGTGAAAATGGGCCACAGTTTTTATAACAAGCATCCTATAGTATCCAACGTTCTCCTGGTTCCTTACTTACTAACATTCTTTGCTCTCTGATTCATATGACTTATTTTATTTTTTATTTTTATTTTTTTGGAGAGGTTTTCACTATAGGGCGCGTGCGCTCACCAGACAGACAGAGACAGACATAGAGACAGAAAGCAAGAAATCACCCCCCAGGGGGGATGGCCACGCCGCAATCCTTTCTCCTCTCGGGATCTCGGGCACGCACGCACATGTGCCCGGCATGAGTTTTAAGCCACCGGGTCCTGGACGTGAACCGTGGTCGACTACGTGGGAGTCCAGCGACATATCCATGATGCTAACTGCTGGTCGCCATATGACTTATTTTCTATGATACATCCCAAATAGCTACAGGTGATTTCAGAATTTGGTCTTGGAGGAAGACATACTACACCAGTAGAAAAGAGAAAGAGAATGCAAATGGATAGCACATGCCATTATATGTGTAATGAAGATAATAAGCACACATGGGAGAAGAGAAAGGTTACTAATGAAAAAGAAAATGGTGAAGAAAAGATGGCAGGTAAGAGATCAGAAAAGGAAGGTAAAATAAAGGAAATCAGAAAAGTAGAGGTAGAAGAAACAAAAGTGGGGGCACAGCAAGGGACAAGAAATAAAAAAGAGGAAGAAAAAGAGAAAAAAATAATAAAAGGCAATAAACAATACTTTCTGAGATTCTAGCCCTTCTGCTTTAAGCTAAAAATACTTCTGGAATAAGATTACATCTGACGATCCTGAGCATTGGCAAAAATAATCAGAAGACTATGATATGCTTCCTAATCATAGATTTATACACTAATCTCATTTTAGTTACATTCCATCTAAATAGAACTTACTTGCAAATTCGGTGTCTGAGTTGTTTAGTAGACAAATACAAAAGGGTTATAGATCTACCCCTTCTAAAATCTTGGCTCGAGAGCTGAGAATCTAATTTTATTCCACGGAGATAATGTGCTTATTTGGAGACTAGCTAAATCTTAAATATCCCTTTCTCCTGAGGTATGTAATAGCACCAGAGAGAGTTAACAACCTGGCTAGAAAATACGACTCTAATTGATCCTATTTTTTAAAGCAATCATCTGGCAAGAGTTTGGGATGAATTCCATGCTCAGATCAGGTTGGATGGTTTCCTAAGAGCTTTTGGGAAACTGAGAACAGGGATTTACTCTAATCTATCATTTTTAAAAGCAAAGGGAGTAACTGAGAATTAAATTAAAAAGTTCTAATGAAGAGGGGTGCCTGGGTTTCTTAAGGATTGGGTAAGTGTAGAGCATGTATACCATATCCCACACAAAAGCACCTAAGACAGAGAATATTTAAGAAGAAAAAAGAAAACTATCAGACCTAGAAACCATTTGTTTGTTTGTTTGCTTGCTTGTTTGTTTGTTTTGGAGAGGTTTACGCTAATAGGGCGCATGTACCCACCAGAAAGACAGAGACAGAGAGACAGAAAGCTAGAAATCACCCTTCGGGTGGATGCCCACGCCACAATCCCTTCTCTGAATCTTGGGCACACATGCACACGCACCTGGCCCAAGTTCAAACCACCAGGTCTGGAACCCGAACTCTGGTCAACTACATGGGAGTCCAGAGACATAGCCATTACATCAAATGCTGGTCCCAAAGACCTAGAATCCTTTAATAAGCCATTAAGATAACTTATTTTTATATTTAATACCTGAAATTTCTCTGCTATGAGAACAGATGACCTCAAGTCTAGGTTTTCATCAAGCCAAGGAAACTACACCAGCAAAGCTTACCTGGGAATATTTAAAAACACTATACACTGGAATTTCAGTTCCTGAATCTTTGGGGTAAGATCTGTTCCATCACACTGCAACAATCAAAACAGAAAAAGCAAGAGTTTTCAAGTAGTCACAAGTCTAAAATCAAGATAACTCGTTGACAACACAGACCATGGTCTTCCCAGGCCCTGACTCTGTTTTAGTGAGTGCAGCTACTGTGATTGAACGTTTATTTCGACCACAGCTCTACTAGACCCAGGGCTCAGAACTTGGATTCGTTTTGATTTAATGTAAGAACAAAGCTGCCATTTGACCAGAATGATTCTTTTCTCTGGTCTCACAATCAAAGAAAATTATTTTTAACCTTGGATTATTATTAGATATTTAGTCTTATATAGCAACTTTGAAAGATTTATGAGCACTTAAAAGAATGAACCCTTGAGCTGAGGCACGCACCTCCACAGGCATCTGAATCAAACAACAGTCATGAATATAACCAGTTTTGTTCTTTGCTCTTTAAGATAATTTATACCTTGGAAATGTTAAATGCAGTATGTTGAACACTTCTTGAAAGAAATATATATTGCAAACTTTTTTTTTTCTTTTTTTGGAGAGGTTTTTGTTACAGGGCACGTACACTTGCCAGAAAGACAGAGAGAAACAGAGAGACAGAAAGTGAGAAATCACCCCCCAGGGGGATGGCCACACTGCAATTCCTTCTCCTCCATTCTCCTCTTGGGATCTTGGGCACGCACGCACACGTGCCCTCTGTGAAATTAAGCCACCAGGTCCAGGACTTGAACCGCTGTTGACTACATGGGAGTCCAGCAACATAGCCATTACACTAACTGCTGGTCCCATATATTGCAAACTTTTTAAAAGGCACCTAATACAAATAAGTATTGTCCCTACCAGGCTCTTATCTTTGCCACAGGGTGAAATCAGTGTTTTGGAGGTGGTAGTTAATAATTGCTCATATGATGTAAAATGTATGTAATGAATACTATACCTAGAAAACAAAAGCAAGAACAAGTGCTTTTCTCTTACAAATTCATCATCTTAACAGACTTTCACTGGGCTGAGATAAACTGCTATACAGGAGTGTAGAAATACCCTGGGGCCTCAAGGGCTAGTTTGGACTGGCTTGGCCTCAGTACCTGTGTACACATCTTCCCTGCTCAATTAGCGATCTCCTTGCACCCATCAGCCACTGACAAATAAAGACAAGGCTTTCATTTCCTTTCTCATTCCCCATTGGTGACACCAGTCAAAAGAGGAAACCTCTAGTCTCAACAATAGACTTTTCGATGTCAAAGGTATAAAATCTGCTTTTATATTTGTTACCCACAAACCTGCATCACAGAATGTCCCTATTATTTTCTCTTTGGGAGAGAGGACAAAGACATTTTCAAGCCTGCAAATTTTTAAAGATTTCATTAGATGGATTTCAACCTAAGTAGAATAATTTTGCTAGTGGTCAATGTTGTCTCCATAGACGCATTCTTTTCCCAGATGATCTTAATGCAGACTAATTTTCATGAGCCTTCCCAGAAATTATTTCCAAGAAATCTGACAGTCCCCAATAAACAATATTTTCAAATGTAATTTAGATAGGAATCAAAGTCTAGACATTGATTAAAGGTGTTTTAACAGTGCTCTCAACTACTAAACAAACATGAAGTCTCCCAATTCATTTAAAGACTTGGAAATGAGTTTATAGATGACTGTGCCAATGAAGGAACAAGGAGACATTCTACATGATCAAAGTTGAGTATTATAAGCAAAACTCCCAACACGTAGGATGTGCTATATTAATAGGATGCAAAACCAGCTCTTCTGAAAGTTTAAATGATTTCCCAAAGTCATCCACCTGGTAAAGACAGACCTTGAGTCCTAGATGTTCCCACTTAGTTTCTTATGCTCTCTTGTTTTCCTTTCCTTGTAAAAGAAGATGTGATTATCTAAATATGCTACTTGGAATACTGAATGCATTGACCGATATCAAATCTTTCCAACTTATTTGCTGCATTTGGGGGTTCTCTGCAAGCTTCTTGTAGTCTCTGCCATCTAAGTCCTCTGACTGGGACATTTTCTAATAATTAGGAAGGGCATAGAGCTTAATTTCAACCCAGCTGACTTGGACCGCACACTGCTATTCAATACTGCCACCACTCTGCCCAAGTCACTGGTTCTCTTGGCAGGAACTGCTGATGGTCTCCCACGTGCAATACGTACTGTGTGGGTGATAAAGTTTAATTTGGATTGGGTTGAAGTCAGCTGAAGAAATAGGAGAAGATTGGTGTCAGATTGCTGCTACTAAAATTGAGTGACCACAATGTTATCAAAATAAAGATATGGTTGATGGGCTATGTATGTTTCTTGTATCTAGCATTAAGAAAACGATATTCAAGTTCTCAAGAGTCACCAGGCCTACAAGACCCTTGCTTTTCCTCTTACTGGATTAGCAACTGAAAGTGATGCCAAGGGCTGCTGGTAACAGGGATAAAGACCTTGGACTCCTGTTTCAACTAATTTAGGACATTTATGTCTCATATGTTTTTGGAGTGATTATAAATTTTAATTTGTACCCTCTTTCACTCCTCTTATTTCCATTAGTTTAAGGTCACGTATTTGTCTCTATTTTCATGTATATATTTTGTTCTGTTCCTTCTTGTCACATGTTCTTATTCTTTACCTACACCATGATAAATTAAAGCGTTGTGATGGGTATTCTCATTTCTGCTTAATTGATACAATTTTCCCTGACTTTATTTTTTTTATTTATTTATGCAACTATACAACAAAGCTACATTCGTCTCTTCTTTTAACATGGTTACTATAAGGAAACATGTTACGTGTTTCTTAATAACCAACAATATATGTAAAAAAACCTGCACCAGAGACTCAAGAAGAAATAGCAACAACAAAAAAATCTATTCAATGGAGAGGAATTTTAACCAGGTTAGAGAATAAGTCTCTGCAAAAAAAAGAAATCAGTGCATTATTTTAATGTGGAGACTGTTCAGACAGCCTTGGAACAAAGATACTTACTTGTTAAATATTTATACTCCAGGACCTAACGATTACCATTTTTTGATAAAGGTCTTCCTGACCTCACAATAGTCAGAGTTATCATTTCTGGCAATTGTGCTTTTGCCATATACACAACTGAATTAAATTTGTTCTATCATTCTACAATGATTTGTACATCCTTCTCCACTAACCTGAGTCTTTTCAGGAGTAAATTGTCTCTATCTGAATCATCAGTATAGCCAAGACAGCATGCAACACTAGTGAGGACTCACAAATGCTAGTTGAAAAACTACACTAAATTATTTCTAGTCTGTATGGTCCACTGATGAATCGATATATGTAAGTCTGTATTGAGGGGGTTATTTGTTATTAGCATTCATGTTCATATTCCAGTGAAAGAAATTAACATATTCGGTACTTACGACAACTTTAACATGTTTGGATAGATCTCTAGAACTCCTCTGAAGGAAATCAGAAAAAGCTGCCTATATCACAAGGAAATAAAAAAATTAAAAGAAATTCTTAATTATGTAGTTATGTTAAATCCTTGCTTCCATATTGAAGATAGTTCCCAATGATTCTAAATTATTCAAAATATAAAACAAGTTCTCTTGTGGCTGAACCCAAAGCAAAGCAACAACTGTCAAATCAAAATTAGTTTCCAAAATATACTCTACAATAAAAATTTAAGAGCACAGAAGGAGAACTGAAAAATGGATAATTTCAAGGGTCAGTTTGAAGATTTCTTTTGACTATTTTTCTCCTCACCCTACTTGTCCATTATGTGCTGACATAATCTTTTTTTTTCTTTGATAGATGTTTGCTATAGGGTGCATGCACTCACCAGAGAGACAGAGACAGAGAGACAAAAAGCGAGAAATTACCCCCCAGGGGGAAAGGTCATGAGACAATTTCTTCTTCTCCATTCTCCTCTCGGGATCTTGGACACGCACACACACATGCCCAACATGAGTTATAAGTTGCCGGGTCTGAGACTAGAACTGCGGTCAACCATGTGGGAGTCCAGCAATGTAACCATTACACCATCTGTCATTTATACCATATGCTGGTTTAATCTGTAACATAACATTGAGAATGTCTTCCTTCCCCCTATTTGATATTTCCACTCCCTTTACCTAGTGACATGAACATAAACCATACTTTATCAATATTTTGGATGTCTTTTCCCCCTTATCTATTTACTCCAAAGGATGTCTGGAGGAAGAGTGGAAAAGAAAGGAGACCCTTTTAATTTAAAATATATTTTCATGAAAAGCTTCCCAGGTTCTGCCAATTTCTCATCGAATATCTGTACATACACCCCGCTTAAAACTCCATTCTTCCTGAAGACTTTCCATGCATCTTTCGGTCTACGTAATTCCTCCATTCCTTACATTGGCTTTGACTTTTCTTTTTTATATCATTTTTTGAATATCATTCCCCCTTAAACAACACGGAGCCTCAAGGCTTTTAAAGTTCAAAGATGATGAACTTCAACTCTCTTTCTGATGACTAATTTAAGAGACACACTCTTCCTGGCATTCTTAAGCCAAGGCAGCGACAAACGGACATGTGAACATCTGAGAGGCTGCACAGCAATTAGGTGCTGGGCAGAGGAAGCCAGATCCCACATGGCCCAGCAGGGTTCAAATCCCTACCCTGCAGCCTTCACATCAGGTGTGTGCGCGTGCCCATGTTTCTGATGGGATGGAGAACTGGACGAAAATGAATTAAGGGCATGAGCAGGCCCTCCTGGGAAGAATTTTCTCTTGCTGTCTCTCCCTCTCTCTCCCTCAAACCTTCACACGGGCACATACATGCATACACACCCTCACGTTAAAAAATAAAAAGCAATATTTGAGATATGTATCTTTATTTTAGTGTAGTTAGCATCTTTATCACTCACAAGTTAATTAGTATTACACAGTATATAATAATAATGATAAAATAAAGGATATACTTACTTACCCCTGCATAGAACATTTTATTTCGAAAACGACTGTTGAATTTCTCTGGATTTGCTTCTGTGAAAGAGGAAAGGTGGTTTTGTTATAGAGATTCCTTAAAGATAGCAATTTAGATTAGTACTGCTAATCCCTTTCCACACTGCATATCAAATAGATCCAATGAATTCATAATATCTTCCCTGCATTCCAGGCCAGTTGGTACAGTGGCCCAGTGCCACAGGTACAATTGTCCAGTACTACACAATGTAGCTTCAAACCAGCAGTGCCAGAGTTAACTGGGAGCTCATTAGGTACAGATTATAGGCCCTACCCTAGACTTGTTGAGTTAGAATGTCTGGACATAGGAACTGGGGGTTTAATCAGCTCACCAGGTGACTGTCATGCACTTTAAAGATTGAGAGACTCTGAATTATATTTTTAAAGAAGGTTGGAAGGGTGATGGGGCAGGGATAATAGAAGACAACAGATAACAGAAAAGAGAAGTGGAGACAAGGGGAGGGGTTACTATGTGCCTGGACCTCTACAGGGCATGGCTTCTATCCCTGTGTGCAGAGTTTTCAAATGGAGTTAAATATGAAGAATTTGGATAAAACCTAATGGTAGTTTGCTTTCACTTTTGGCAAAAACTACAAATTGTCATCTTCCCTCCTCCTTGTGATAGGTCTTGAAAAATTATTTTGTTTAGTAGAGAAGACACACATACACACTTACACACATGCACAGATGGACTGCTGAATGGATTCAGGGCATATTACAACAAAGGTTCTAGCTGAAAAATTGTTTCATTTGAGTGTGCTCTTATGTGTTATAGATTAAGGACAGTGAAGAAGAAAGAAGAAAGAAGAAAGAAGAGAGAAGAGAGAAGAGAGAAGAAAGAGAGAAAGAGAGAAAGAGGGAGGGAGGGAGGGAGGGAGATGAAATAAAAACAGCACCAGAGAATTTTTTTTTTTTTTTGGTTCACTGTAGGGCGCGTGCACTCGCCAGACAGACAGAGAGAGACATAGAGACAGAAAGCGAGAAATCACCCCCCAGGGGGGATGGTCACGCCGCAATCCCTTCTCCTCCATTCTCCTCTCGGGTTCTTGGGCATGCACGCACACACGCCCGGCGTGAGTTTTAAGCCACCAGGTCCGGGACACGAACCGCTATCGACTACGTGGGAGTCCAGTGACATAGCCATTACGCTAACTGCTGGTTCCCAGCACCAGAGAATTTTCACATGAATTCAAGAGAATCTAAAGTCCCTAAAAGAAATATTATTTTTTAGACAGCTGGTTGGCAAGCCAAAACGTTCCCAGTCCTAACCCCTGTTTTTGAATGGCAATTCCCAAGAATTGTTTAGATGAAGAAAAGTAGCAAAGATTTCACTAAGATTGGGCAGAAAAAGGAGTGCAGGACCTCAAAGATAATCCTAGACAAATAGTGATTAGACTATTTTCATGATTATTGCAACATAATATTAGTACATGATATGGAGACTGGGTAAAGAACGGTGAGCTTAAAAAAGGTTATTTTGTAGGTTAGCTCTTGAGAGCTATAGTCATCTATTTCCAGCTTTTGTCATCTGATGCTCTTTAACCACTCACTCCATCCTGCCAAATTAAGTATTCTAACCTAGAAACAAAAGTAAACAAAGGGTAAAAAAAATTATATGGTATAGCAAATAAAGAGAAGATTGAATAGTATCAATTGTTCTATCTCCCCTATCTCCAATTCTTGCCTCCAGATCTTCACACTCTAGATCTTCTTCAGAATAAATGTAACTGCCAGTGACATTGTCTATGCAACATACTTGGTGGGTACCACTTTCAGTTGCATTAATCCTTTCTAACTTTACAGAGCCAGAGGCAAAATAATAATATTTTGTTATGCAACGTATTTATACATAAATACATAGGCCCTGTTTTTTGAAAAATTGATTACAACTATAAAACAAGTTATAAAAATGGAAAAAATAGCAACCACCGTTCTGGCATAAAACTGTCCAGGGCTCTGATGTCCACAGCCAACAAGAAAATTATTTATCAACTACTAACATTTACATGTAAAGATTCACATCTTCATGAGGTGTTCCTATGAGCCTTAAAGTACTGAAAATCTTTTTGAAAAAAAAAAGGTTTTTTTTATTCAAGAGATACATTTTTTTCCTCTAAGATTAGATTATAATGAAAAAGATGGAATACAATTAAGAAATAAGCTGAGTTTTTGATTATTTCACTCAGTTGATGAAAACAGTCATCGCAGCTGAGTTTAACTAGATACAGTTCAATGAAGTAAGTGAATCTAAAAAACAAAGCTCTGGGGACCAGCAGATGGTATAAAGGTTGTCAATGGACTCCCACGTTGTCGACCATAGTTTGAGTCCTGGACCTAGTGGCTTAAAACTCACGCCAGGCACATGTGCTTGCATGCCCAAGATCCTACAAGGAGAATCGAAGAGAAGGTATTGTGCCATGCCCATCCCCCTGAGCGGTGATTTCTTGCTTTCTTTCTCTCTGACTCTCTCTCTCTCTCTTTCTCTCTGGTGAGTGCACATGCCTTATAGCAAAAATCTCTCAAAAATAAATAAATAAATAAATAGATGAAATAATAAAGCTCTGTCAAGATATTATCGGAAAGGTAGCAAAAAGCCATAAAATAAAGAGGTAAGAGATTCACACATATGGTTTGTCCTTGAAGGTTAAAGGGATGTAAGGAAATCTTGTTAGTCTCTAGACAAGAAATGTATGTATCATACTACGAACTTCCAGAGTGAACCTGCCTTAGCAATTGAAGCTCTCTCCCATTTTTAATATCTGCCTTATTCCAACCACAAATCAAGCTCAGAAACAGGGTTTTCCAGAGCTAAAAGAGCCAGCCTGTGCTGGCACTTTACTTCTTGCAGAAACCAGGCCGTAAGAAAGCAAGGAATAGCCTTCAAACAGCAGCATTCAATCATTCTCCATTGACTATTGAAAGAAAGGGATCGGCTGGCCGATTGAGTTTCTGTGTGTGTCTACAGGAGTTGATGTGCCTTTGAAGAAGACCAAAGAGTATGGACCCACTCCGTCAAGAAGTTGAAGGGTGGGAGAGAAGAAATAAAGAGTTGGAAATGGGTCAGTGAGAAAGTTTAAGGGCTGTCATTCCTTTAAGAAATGTTCTATTATTTGGCATGAGGTACAACATGAAAGGCCACTCTGAAAAAAGGCTATAAATTCTCAAAATATCCTAAGACTCCAATAGAAAAAGTGTTCATGGCATATTGCTCCAGTTCCTAGGTTGCCCATTTTTCTCCTTCATGAGAGGGTATGAGATAGATAGGCCCAAACAACCACTGCCTATGCCATTAACCTATTTACAATGTACTGGATATCAACAGATAGTTTTCTTTTTATGCCATGACAAATCACTACAAACTCGACAACTTAAAGCAATGTCCATTTATATTCTTACAGTTTACTAGGTAAAAAGTTTGGTCTACGCTCTCCTGGGTTCTCTGTTTAGGGTCTTCCAAAGTCCAGATCTAGATGTCATCCCGTTGGGCACACTGAGAGTCTCTTGGAAGGATTCTCTCTCTCTCCAGTTCATCAAGGTTGTTGCAAATTCCACTTCCCTAAGGCTGCTGAAATGAGGTTCTCTTTCTCTGCTGGCTGTGGGCTAGGGTTCATTCTCAAGTACCTATGTTCCTCAGCTCCTAGTCCCCTCCCTTGTCAAAGTCAGAAAGGCTCTGACTTCCACTTTTGCTTTTAAGGGTTCATGTTATATTGCAACTGGGCCCATTCAGATAATCAGGACCGTCTTCCTACCTTAAAATGAGCTGATTATCACCTTAACTATGTCCACAAAGTCCTTTTACCATGTAAAGGAATACAGTCACAAGCATAACACCAGGTGGCCAAGATCACAGAGGTCAAAATTCTACCACCAGTGAACCTGCTGGTGCCCATGATGTGTTTCTTTACCATATGAAAAACATATTCACTGTCTCCAGGTTCCCCCACATCTCATCCCATTACAGCATTAACTCAAAATCCAAAAATTTTGTCTAAATCTCATTAGCTCGAATTTCCCAATCTTATCATCTAAATCACCTAAATGATTTGGCACTGGATGTAATCCATTTATGACAATAGAGCTCTGAGTTTAATCCATTCAATTGATTAAATATGTTAACCCCGTCTTTATATACAGCATATGATGGGTGCCTTCAGAATGAGGAGCCTAAAACCCTACTTTTGTCTATGATTGGTCTTGCAATGGATCAGATCGTCCAGGTAACAAACAGACTGCATTCTGGAATAACATATACAAATGAAATCACAAAACCATGCCCACACAGAATCGTATCAAAATGCTATTCTTTGGCACTGTTCATAAAAACTCAGTATTACAGGAGCTAGATGGTGGTACAGCAGAAATGCAGCCTCCTACATGGAAAGGTCCTGAGACATGAACCCAGGATCTCCCTGGGCATTCTAGGTATGTGCATGCCCACCCTGATCCAGGCTGGCTGAGACTAACAGTGCATCATGAAGACCCTGTTGAGGGTGCCCATTCTGTCTCTCTTTCTCTTTTTAAGTTAATTTATTCTATTGATAAACAAAATTAAAAAGAAAACAAATTCAAGATTGTACACATTTTTTGGAACCTAGTACATGGGATAAAAGATAAGCAACTCCATGTTTTTCCATTTCAATCCCCTCAAAAAAAAAAAAGCAAATTATATTAAAATATAGCAGTAGTAGTTGAGTAAGTCAGTATTGGAACCAGCAGATGAAGGAATGGTTATGTTGCTAGACTCCCACATAGTCAACTGCAGTTTGAATTCTGGACCCAGTGGCTTAAACTCATGCCAGGTGTGTGTGCATGCGTGCCCAGAATACCAAGAGGAGAGAATGGAGGAGAAGGGATTGTTGCATGTCCATCCCGCCTTGGGGGTGACTTCTTCACTTTCTCTCTCTGTCTCTCAGGTGAGCACAAGTGCACTATAACAAAACATTTCTTGGAAAAAAAGAAAAAAAGGAAAAATATAGAAAAGGTCGGTATGTTTTATTTTATTTTTAAGAGGCTTTGCCTTA